TTTTAATAAAGGATATGTTTCGCATTAAGGACACTGCTCTATAAAATCATTAAACTCTGAATTATTATTTTGTTTTCTCTAACTTTTAAATTATTTTCTTTCTAAACGAGTAATTGTATCAATTAAAATATGCTTCCTAATTTATAACAACTTTTTAGTTTCTAATAGGTTTTCGTTCGTTTAAGTATTTACTATGGAAAGGGCAATCGCTAAACAGAAAATGTAAGTTAATCAGTATAATTTTTTTTTAACAAGTAGCTTATATACGCTATTTTTATTAATTAACTTTTTATAAAATTCAATACTTTTCGGTCATATTAGTGTAAAAGTAAATAAAAAATTTTTGTCACCGAAGAATTTTATTTATTTACTTGAATGGAGGCCTTAGCCCGAATTTATTGTGAATGAAGTCTAGTATGTGAATGTAATTTATTAGCGCGAATGGAGAGGTTTATCCTCAATCTCCTCGAAGAATATCAAAAACTCTAAAGTAGTGTGAAAGTAGTTTATTAACGTGAACGGAAAGACTTCCCAACTATCTGGAGGAATTGCCAGTACTCTGGAGTAGTGCAAACGATGTCTTGTGTGCGAGTGTAATTTATTAGCGTGAATGGATGGGTATATCACCAATTACCACGTGCAGTATCGAGAGAGGGTTGTGAGAATACTAACCAGACTATCATGTTTTTGTCGTATTTTTATTTTCCCGTAAATATGTGATAAATGGAAGATGAATTCATGAAAAAAACCTCATACGTTTCATTTTATAACTGCAGTTCCAAATTATTTACAGATGCCAGGTTTAAGCCATATATGTATTCTGACGGTTTCTAATGGATTTTAAAGTCTTCTCAAAATCTGATGAGTCATTTAAAGTGGTCAGTATTTCTACGATTTGGTAACAAATTTGGAGAAAAAAATTGTGGGAAAATACTTTTTGATGTTATAAAAATTTGTCTTTGCGAATTTTGTTTCTTGTTAAATAATATTTTAATCTACTATATGGCAACAGCCGTCATATGCTTTTTGACGGTTTCTAATGGAACTTAAAGTCTTCTCAAAATCTGATGAGTCATTTAAAGTAGTCAGTATTTCTACGATTTGGTAACAAATTTGGAGAAAAAAATTGTGGGAAAATGCGTTTTTGATGTTACTAAAATTTGTCTTTGCGAATTTTGTTTCTTGTTAAATAATATTTTAATCTACTACATATATGGCAACAGCCATCATATGCATTTTGACGGTTTCTAATGGATTTTAAAATCTTCTCAAAATCTGATGAGTCATTTAAAGTGGTCAGTATTTCTACGATTTGGTAAGAAATTTGGAGAAAAAAAATTGTGGGAAAATACGTTTATTGATGCTATTTAAATTTGTCTTTGCGAATTTTGTTTCTTGTTAAATAATATTTTGATCTACTGCATATATGGCAACAGCCATCATATGCATTTTGACGGTTTCTAATGGAATTTAAAGTCTTCTCAAAATCTGATGAGTCATTTAAAGTGGTCAGTATTTCTACGATTTGGTAACAAATTTGGAGAAAAAAATTGAGGGAAAATACATGTTTTGATTTTACTAAAATTTCTCTATGTGAACTTTGTTTCTTGTTAAATAATATTTTAACCTAGTACATGGCAACAGTATTGTCATAGTCTGGGTAGTAAAATAGGTCCTAATTTAATTATAAATAATTTAAATTTTAAACTTTATTTTTCCTTTAAGCACTGTCTAAGGACGTTGTAAAGTCTAAGAATGTTCGTTTTTACAAAGTCGGTGTTATGCAGGGAGAAAAACAACATAGAATCTAACGAAATAGTTTTTGAGTAATAAAACTTTCTCGTACGTGCTATTTCCTCGTATTTGAATTTCCGCATTTATCACCAAGGAGAAAATATTTCTATGACAGGACACCTCCTGGGTTTTTTTGAAATAGGAACCTACCATGAATGCCAAGTAAGGGCACATTGAAAACTAGATTTGACTGCGTCACCGGTCAAATATCAATATTCAACCCTTCACATTCAACCCTGTCAAAAAGGGATGTTTTGTCCAAATTCATTTAAGTAAAATTCTACTGAAGTTTCTGCTGGCGTATTGGACTGGATTTATGCAAGCTCAAATCTGCACATGAATGTACTTTGTTTCTTGTTAAATAATATTTTACCCTACTATATGGCAACAGTATTTCATAGTCTGGGTAGTAAAATAGGTCCTCATTTAATTATAATATATGTACATAATTAAGCCTATCACTTCTCCCAGTCCAAAGCATTTCCAGCTTTTGTAATTTATAATAAATTACCTGCAACCCTCGAGAATCACCTATTTGCATACCATTCATTCAATTAGAGTCGTGGAGTACTTCATAAGTTTTTCCTCAACCACCCTCTACACATATTATATAAGTAACGTGAGGGTGGATGGAGTACTCAATATCCGCCTTCAACCCTCTCACACTACACATTCACGCTAATAAATACATTCATTATCCACACACACTAGGGTACACAACAATTTTAGCACTATATACAATAAAAGAACCCTGTTTCCTCCAAAAATCGGAACAGGTAACCCAGATACATGGTGCCATGCACGGTTTGCGTATCGGGTGGGAATCGTACACGCTCTTTACATAGAGCCCAAGAGGTGCACCCTTAGGTGGGACATATCGAGCAACCTTTCTCTACATGCCGGACAAATGGGCTCATATGGCCTAACCTTAATCGTGTGAGGATGACCCATTTGGTACGATTCAGATCCACCGAGGTCCACCTATCGAGAGTGCTCTTGATGCGCGAGAGCTTCTCTGCCGACCCCTTCCACCGACGCTGCCACCTCTTCACCTACTTCTGACGTATTTTATGAGAGGATACCTTAATAACCATACATAATGGTTTTATGATTTTATGGCTTTAAATGAATTTATGATGGAGTTGCGGGGGTTTAATTACAAGACTGACAATTCAAGAAGGAAAATAATGTGATATTTTACGAGTTTGTCGTTTTAGGGATAAGGACGGACGATCTTCTCCCCAATTTTCGGACCATGATTCATATTATCATAGGTTGTAATGTCTTTCTGGTTTATCTTTAAAAAATAATGGGTGAAAGAGATTTATTTCTCAATAAATCTTCCTACGGTAAATGTGGCTGTTTCAAGTGGATGGAAAAATGACCACCCCTCTTTTGGGATTGTTTAAAGATGATGTGTCAATTGGGGATCGTAGCAATAAATTGCTCATTGGAACTGTGGCAGGTTTGTGTTTGAAACGTGACCTAGCCGCTCTGGTAAATCACCGACATGCGAGGCAACCCGTGTTGTGTATTCTAGTGGGTGACCCGATCCCAGGTGAAAGGATGTATTTCATTCAACATTCATTGGATAGAGTTTGAAAGGCGTGGATTTATTTGTATAGCATACGGTTATCCTCCAGGGTTAAGCAAATAAGCGCAAATTTGAGTAAATTTCTCACTAAAGTCATAAAAAGTACAAGCGTTTTAACAGTAAGTGACATCCATTTTCTCACCGTGTAGAATATTTTTTTATTTTATAGTTAAAAATAACGCAGGCAGTAGCTTTTTAACAAAGCTGTTCCAGTCCTAGAGTTGGGATTGCTTTCTTGCAAATGAAGTCGTAGGAGTGCACCCGGCTTGTGACTTACTTTCCATAATTACTGTCCCCTCTGCTCTATGATCATTCCATAATTCAACACTATCGAGGTAGCATAGCAGACGCTTCAGGTTAAAGTGACGAAATAATTGAATATCGCCCCACCGTCAGACACACCACCTTGGATAAGGGTAAGATCGGAGTAATTCTCAATTATTTTATTTGTTTTAACTATTGATATTCAAAAGTTTCTATAATTTTTTTCCTTTAATCGGGTCGATTATTACCATTGGGGTATAGAAAATTAGGATTAAACTCGCTCGATCCCCCAGGTCGGCATATTCTCACCTTGAGTCAATTTCGGTCTTGAACTCCCAAGCTGCTAATGGTTGGATTTTATTGTTTCTGATCCCCAATTTAGAAACAATTTACACTCTCTATGAGAGAAATTTATTACTTTGGCAAATTAACTAGAATTAGCAGCAATTTACCTTTCCAGACTGGCCCCAGGTACAATTATGGCACACTGGGCCAGTTTAATTGTACTCTGAGGCAGCTCCAAAATTCAAGTTCGCTTAATAAAATCATTATTTTAAATACTTACTTGAATCGATATAAAGATAAACATCAATACAACAAATATTCTGCCATAAATAATTTATTATTTGTTAAACATCAAGACAATTTTCATGCACAAAATGTAAAACAAATTTACATATCAATTATAATGTAACATGCACCATTTTCGAACTAACGTGTAAGGGCTACTCTTCAAAAAGGAAACATTTAACAAACAGAAAATTATTTTCAATGTTAGGAGTATCGACCATTTTTCACTCACGAACACTTTGGATCAAGATATGGTCACAAAGAAATAAAGCAAATTCAGTTGATATGGCCTTCCATTGTGGTGATTAGAATTACGAATTGATTCTAGTGGTCACTTGATCCAGAGTGGTCATAAGAGAATTATTTATAATATTTAAATCAAAACAGACCATTGATAACCTTGCCATATGTACAAAGACATAAAAAATGCTTTATTTTGATATAGATATAAAAAGATATGCATTATCAAAAATGTATTAACTTAACATGCTTTTTTCTCGACAATAATGACAGATCAGAGTATATTTAAATTTTACATTAGAATTTTTTTTATACTCGAAATTGGATGCAACAGTGACGTGCTTATATTGAAACATCCACCATTCCTGAAACATACAAAGTATTAGATAATATGCCCACTTTATCGAATCAAATTAAATATAAAAAGACAACATATAATGCTTCTTCATTCACAGAGTCAATGTTCAAAACCTATTGGAAATACCATGGATCTGACTCGAATGCAATGGATTTTGACAGTCGTGCAAGCGACACGTACCTTTTTTTTGTTTTTCGCCAATACAACAACACAAAGTATTCGTCTTACGATCTGAAACTATTAACAAATCCATGTAAATGAATTCGAATTGGACAGAGAAAGAGCCATTAATTTAACGTGACGTATGTTGTGATTTATTTATTTTTGACGATTCTATCGGTGTAACTTGTTAAACTCGTAGAATTTTTCGGCCGTGGGTTCGGATCTCACCGTCGCCCCTGTGATATCCTTTCCCATCCACCGAAAAATTCTCTGCTTTTTTGCTTGGCATTTTAGCAAACACGATGTCATTAAGAAAAAGTACATTTAAAAAAAAATTGCGAAAAAAAGTATAATGTAAAGACTGTTTTATGGGCAGACACACTAAAAGAATTAAAATATTTATTTTTGAAAGTAATCGTGCAAAAATTATACATGCTTTTCATTATCTAATAATGAAAACAAGATGTGGTGCAAGTTTACTCTCTTAGGTTTTTGGTTGTGGATTCGATTCTCGCTGTCGCCCCTGGCACTTACGACCCTTTCACATAAAAATTCAGTTTTGGTAAACACTAAATCATTAATCAAAAAAATACATTTTACAAAATCCGAGGCAAAAACGTTTAGTGTAAAGTCTGTTTTAAATGCAGATACGACCAAAAAATTGAAATATTATTTTTTTTTAAATTTTCTCGCAAAAATTCTCCAGCTTTTTCTATATGATATATACAAAAGTGTAGAACAAATTCACGCTCTTAGAATGTTTTTGTTATTGTGTTCGATTCTCACCGTCGACCTTAGAATTTCCGAAGCCTTTTCTAAAAATTTCTTTTCTTTCTGGCTTGGGTAATTTGACACACATGATATTATCAATTAAAAAGTATATGTACTTTAAAAATTCTACGAAGACTTATCTGTAGAAAGACTGTGAGGATTGTTGTAACGTGTGATAAAAATTATACAGCAAGAATATAAAATTTAGGTATAGTAATAATAACTACAACAACAATTATTTGAACTAAAAATGAATACACTTTTCTGAGATATTCTTGAATAAATTTCTTAACAAATGATGAGAGTTAGAAAAAAATAAAAATACTATGAGGAAATAAAGATGAAAATTTAAAAGGAGGTATTTTGGAGACAAACCCTTCAGCCTTTATACCGAATAGCGTCCTCCCACTATTTATATCAAGACCCTAATCATCACAAAAAATTTTAAGTGCAAATTGAAACTAGCATTATTATAAAGATTTAATTCAGTCAAACCGTCGCCAAGTGGTAAATTGATATATAAAAGTTTATTCAGATTGATCAAATGATTTTCGAGAAAGGTGCACAAATGTAACGAGGGATTGTCCCATAAAGTTGAGATTGGTCCTTTCTGCCCTTAATATATCAATATCGATTTAATAACATGCTAAGTAAACAAAAACCAAAACTAAAAACATTTATTTTTATGAGAGAATAAGGTTCAGGAATGTATTGTTTAATTTATTATATATCAATATATACTATTGAACAATTACTGATCAGCATTCACCAAAAATTACTTATTGAAATTACTTTATAGCATTTATTGATCTTTTAGTTTTACGATATTTAAAGAAATTGTAGAATATAAACATTGGCCACGTTGTTTAGCATCGTTTCAATAAATAAATATTGCACAATAACGTCTTTTGCCATTACAAAATTCAAATCCACAATGTCATTAGAGTTCTATAAATACTTTTGTTTGCTGTCGGTAAAATTGATTAAATATCGCAATTAGTTTTAATTAAGAAATTTAATCTCTGACTGGCAATCACCGTATTGTTGGAGATTCAGATGTTTATTTTCCGAAGAGGAATTTTCCGAGGCGAATCTCTTTGAAAATGTAGCTCATTACTTTTCCCCGATTCGACATCGATAAAGCGACAATTACGGGGAATTACTCAAAATGGAAGGTTTATAAGGGATACATTGAAGGAAAATTGTATAAAAACAATTTTAATGATTCGCTGAAAGTAACGCGAGAAAAAGAAATACAACAGTAAACAAAGGCGGAACTTCCTTTTGCCTTCGGTCTTCATCAAAATTAATAAATGAGAGACCCTTAGAAATAAAAGGGAGAAGGTGTAACTGATTCGAGGAAAACTGTTTTTTTTCTGTTGTAACATTTTTTCTACCATGATTTCAATGTGCTTCCCATGGAAAAATTAAAGGATTTTATATGTTTTACAACGTTCCATATTAATAATTTAATTCCTTAAATTCACTAATTTCGTGGTTCGCTTGACCAATTAATATATTACAGTTAATTAAGGTTTTTAGTTGAGATAAAAAAGTCAATGGCACGAGCGGGATTCGAACCCACGATCTTCGGCTAGATACGCCGCTGCTCTACCACTTGAGCTATCGTGACCTCGAGGCTCGATCCACTCGGGCATCAACTTCCTATCTCAACCCCACCTTTTGAATTTTCCCTCCTTTTTGCCATTTTTCAAATGTCGTGTAATCGTATTTGATTCTCGGCGACAAATGAAATGGCTACGGAGAGTTTTAGTGAAGTATACTTAATTTTAAACTTATTAAATTCACTAGTTTTCGTGGTCCGCTTGACGAATTAATAGCTTTCAATTAATTAAGGTTCTTAGTTGAAATAAAAAAGTCAGTGTCACGAGCGGGATTCGAACCCACGATCTTCGGCTAGATACGCAGCTGCTCTACCACTTGAGCTATCGTGACCTCGATCCACTCGGACACCGACCTCCCATCTCAACCCCACCTTTTCAATTTTCCCTCTTTTTTGCCATTTTTCAAATGTCGTGTAATCGTATTGGAATCTCGGCGACAAATGAAATGGCCAGTGAATTTAATGAATTAAAATGAAGTATACTTCACTAAAGCTCTCCGTGGCCATTTCATTTGTCGTCGAGAATCCAATCCGATTACACGACATTTGGGGAATGGCAAAAAGGAGGGAGAATTCAAAAGGCGGGGTTGAGATGGGAAGTTGATGGTCCGAGTGAATCGAAGTCACGATAGATCAAGAGGTTGAGCAGCGGCGTATTAGCAGAAGGTCGTGGGTTCGAATCCCGCTCGTGCCATTGACTTTTTTATCTCAACTAAAAACCTTAATGAATTGTAATTAATAATTTAATTAACTATATATAATCTGTTTTTCCTGCAATTACACTAATGGACAAATTTAACGCACCACTCAAATTATTTAGATATCTATTATCGTTCTACATTAGTTACAGGTTACAGGTAATTCAGCGCTATCGTAGTCAAAATCAACAGTAAATAATGCTTTGTTTACTTCCTTTGTTTACGTTTGTACTGATTAATCCCATTTGCACAAAAATTAGCATTGTGCCCTTCCATTCTGCTACGCCTAAAGATCGCTTTCAGTCAGTTCACAAATAAAAAAGCTAGTATCACGAGCGGGATTCGAACCCTTCAGCTGTTTTAACCACTTGAGCTATCGTGACTTCGAACCACTCGGACACCAACTTCCCACTTCAACCTACCTTTCGAATTTTCTCTCCTTTTTGCCATTTTTCAACCAATTCCATTTCAACGATCATTTTTTTTTCATTTCAACCAATACCTTACATAAAGATTAATATTAATTGAAAGAAGTTATTTGGTCAATAGGACCACGAAATATAATGGGTTTTTAAAATGATTATTAGTTTTTGAATTTTCCGTTTTTTCTTTTTGTTTGTAATTAGGTAATAAACATTTTTTAAATGTCTTATTTTTACAACCAAACCTATTTTTAGTATTCAAAATACAAATAATTTTTAATGCGTTAATATTTAAGGGCGGTGCGTTAATTTTGTCCAACAGTCTATTATCGACTAAACATGACATATTATAATTATTATTGCTTTGATAATACTAATACGAAAATGTTTGTGGGCAAGATAAAAAATATATTTATTTTGCGTTACCATTTTCTTCTCATAGATTATGGCTACCTAGAGGTTAGTCTACCTTAGGCTTCAAGTTAAGGTTAAGGACGGAATGGATTATATAAAACGCATCCTTTTATTCGTTAACAATAAAAATTCATTAGGTTAGTAATTATAGACTATTTACCGGTTTAGCTTAGTTCACGGCGCTGCAAACTACAATTTATGAAGTTCGGATTGTGTCGCGGGTGAGGTAAACAATCAGCTCTGAGAATTCGCCCCACGTATTTAATTAAAAACCCACCAGAAATCACGAATAATTTGTTTTGTTTAATAAAAAATAATATAAATTTGGTTATTGTTTTATTTGATTTTATTCCGATTTAAATAATATTACCGTGAACGTAGCTAAAACAAAAGCGTTAGTATTTCGTAATTCGATATCAACGTTTTCACCTATATTAGAGTTCCCGTTGGTCGTCTGAGAAAATTTATGTTACGAAAAATAATGCATTTTGTAAAGGAACTCTTGTGCTAGGGAAAATTAAAGAAATTCCAATAGCTGGAAAGTGCAATTCCACGCCGACAAAGTTAAACGTTTTGATTCAATAATAGCTCCTTCTGGAATCTGTACGCTGCCAAACTCTGGGCATTGGACGATATGAAGGACCATGACAAATTTCCCGACAGGTTCTTAGAGCCGGAAACATCCGAAGCAACGCTATGCGGCGCTACCCGATGCTACCCGACGCCTTGTCACGTTTTGGTAGGGTGTGCACATCTATGCGACGTCAAGTTCACGCCACGTACAGTCACACAGCGTGTATCACAAATCAGTATCACAAACGCCTCTTTTGTTCCTTATGCATTATTTTGAGCAAAACCATGTAATAAATTGTTAGTTAAATTTCAAGTTAAACAAAGAAACCTTTCTTTTTATTATTTATTTTATATAACGTTCATTATTAATTGTAATTAATTTTCATGTGGTATTTTATTATTTATTTATTTATTTATTTTTTTTAATTGGCCTTATGATCTTTGCCTATTAGGCATGACGAATCTCTTATATATATTGTTCAAATTGGGGGTTATCGGGAAAAAAGGGCCAGAGGAGACGGTGGGAATCGAACCCACGACCGCGGCGTGAGAGTCTCTCATGCTAACCACTCA